ACCACACTCACTCACTCGCCTGTTCCATTAATGATGCTCCTAAGCAATACAAAGTTCTCTGAAAATTTACATGTATTGGCTTTTTGTTTTCTTTTTCTTATGGAAGGAAGACATAAGAACAGCCAACATATGCATGGAAAAGTGCTCAACACCACAATTAGGGAAATGTAAATTAAAGCCACGATGTGATCATATCTATCACCTCACTCAGCCAGGATGGCTGTGAGCAGAAATACAAAAGACGCTAGGGAGGATGTGGAGAAAAGGGAAATCATGTGCACTGTCGGTAGGAACAGAAATTAGAACAGCTATCATGGAAAACAGTATGGAGGGTTTTCAAAAATTAAAAATAGATCTGCCATATGATCCGCACCCTGTGTATATCCAAGAGAAACGGAATCAGTGTCAGGGAGGCATCTGCACTCCCACGTTTGTGACAGCACTACTTGCAGATGCCAAGAAACGAAAACAACCTCAGTGTCCGTCAGCTGGTGAACGGATAAAGCAAATACCCTCACACTCAGTGGAACACCACTGAGCCATGAGAATGAACCCTGTCACTCAGAGCAATGCAGATGGAGCAGAGATCAGACTGTTCAGGAAACAAGCCAGGCACAGCAGGGAAAGCAGCACATGATCTCTCTTACGTGTGAGTCTAGATTGGGAGTAGAGCAGCAGTTCCCAGAGGTCGGGGAGAGGGAAAGGAAAGCTGACCCACGAGTCCTAAGGCGACGGGCAGCTCCGGTATGCTGCTCAACAGCAGGCTGACTGTAGACAATGACCTTGGACCTTGGACCTCTGAATGTTTTCACCACAGAGAAAATGGTAACTATTTTGGGACATGTGGTTACCCTGATGTAAACACTGCACAGTGTACATCCATATGGAAACATTGCAAGGAGCCCCACAATAGGAACTTTTTAAAATTAAAACATTAAATTTGGAGAGTGCTGAAAATGGCGGCGAGCTAGGGGATCGAGTGAAGAGTCTCTCCAGAGAATTCAAACTCAAAGCTAAAAAAAGACAGCATGGAGAGGACCAGACAAATCGATAGCGATTCTTATTAACCAAGACAGTACAGCTGGAGGATTTAAAGTCGTGCTGAGACCAGAGGCTGCAAATCCCGCGCCCTTAAATCAACAAACAGACTCGTGGACCCAGCATGAAAAGCTGAGTTGCTTTTGGGGACCGCGGGAAACTGAGACCCAGATCGAGACTCCAAGTAGCAGCCAGTTCTGCACCGCTGCACCAGAGCGGATGTACAAAGCTCTGGCGATTCAAATCTAAACGGTGCACAGAAATCTGACCGGTCAGCGCTGAGCCGCGAGTGGGGGAAAAGTGGACAGCTTGGTGTGCGGCGGTCCCGGAACGAGGACTTGCACCGGACTCTGGTGAGTACAGAAAACCCCGCGGCTGCTGGGTTTGGCCAGAGAACAGCTGGCCCGCCACCACGGGGAAATCAATAACACAGAGTCTGGTGCAGACATATTAGCCTGGCGGCAGAAACCGCAGCTTGGTGACATCACCAGGTCCCCCTGTAGGGAGGGCTGGTGGAAGACATCTTGAGTCCTGGCAGAGCCTGATTACTTGCTGGCTTCAGCTCCACACAGAGAACTTAGTGGGAGCCATCTTGGTTTTGGGCAGATCTGCTTTTCTGGTGCTCCTATCACAGAGAGGTTTGGAAGAGAACGGCTGGGACCTGGGCAGAATCCTGTGCCATTACTCAGCTGCTTCTGATTCAAAGAGAACTGGCAGGAGCTACTGGGGCTAAACCAAGCCTCTGCTTGGGGCCCAATAAGCAGATACAAAATAGTCACAACTCAGTGACAACCAGAAAGTACAGCCTAATTTATGAACTAACTGACACAGAGGCTAGAGACTAGACTGTACCGCCCCTACATCCCAGCCTACCCCAGATAACAGCAAATTGGGGAGGACAGCAAAAACTCAAGCCAGCACGCTTCTGAAAGGCCCTAAGCAATTCGGAGAGGGCCAGAGAACTCCAGGACAGTCTGAAAGAAACCAGAAACATGACAAGAGATAAAAATAAAAAAAAATCTCCAGCTGTTCAACAGGAGAAATTAAACCCAAGAGAACTAAACACTGAAGAGAACAAGCACAGTAACCATCCTCTACTCGACACAGCATCAGCCGAAATTAAAAAGTACTTACATGATCTCATAGAGGAATTTAAAGATGTACTCCTGATCCAAGTGAGGCAAGATATAAAGAGATTAATTAAAGAAATGACAAGCCCCGCCCAAGAGAACACAGATGGAAGAACTGAGGAAATCAGAAAAGAAAGAGAAGCATCTGAAGAAGAATTTAAGCATAACTTAGAATACATGAAACAGATCCAAAGAGAATATCAGGAAACTAAGAACTCCATTGAATACTGGCAAAATGCCTTGACAGAAACTAAAGACAACCTTCTGAAACTTGAAGAGAGATTTAGGGCTTATGAACGTGAAAGAAAAAGCCTCTTAAAAATAACAAGGAACCAGAAAGAAGCAATTCTAAAACTGGAAGATGATAAAAAGATACATAACCTAAGGATAATGAATGTGAGTGAGGAAGCAGGAACAACCAAAAATGAAATACAAAAAATATTCACAGAGATATTAAAGCAAAATTTCCCACGTATAGCAAAAAGAAATGATATCCAGATAAAAGAAGCATACAGAACGCCAGCTACCTACAACCAAAACAGATCTACGCCTAGGCATATAATAATCGAGATCCCAGAAATCCACCAAAAAAAACCAGAATATTAAAAGCAGCCAGAGAAAGGATGCAGGTTACCTATAACGGGAAATCTATCAAAATAACAGCAGACTTATCAACACAAACTCTTAAGTCAAGAAGGGAGTGGGGAGAAATATTCCAAGTCCTGAAGGAAAAAAATATGCAACCTAAGTTCATATATCCGTCAAAACTCTCTCTAAAAATTAATGAAGAAATAAGATACTTTCAAGACAAGGAGGAACTGTGGAAGTTCGTGGCCACCAATCCAACCCTACAGAGAGCGCTGAAGGACATTACAGAGAAAGAGAGGAAGAGATATCAGGATTACAGCTACAGTGGCAGAGAAGCCTCAGTGAACGGGGCAGACCATGGAACGAGGGAATAAGGTGGACAAATTATAGCAGAAAAGTGGAGTAGCAGACATGAGGCAGAGACGGTAAGCTAGTCTTTGGTAGAGACAGCTCTGAAACTATATTTAAAAAAAAAAAAAGCAGAGGTCATTGCTAATGGTGTATAACGATTTAAAAGACACAGTAGTCCTAGTGCCATATTTAGATTGAATTAAATTTGTTCTGGTCTGTCCACTCATATCAGATTTGAGGACACAGACCTCTAGAACCAAAAATAGCAGGTTATACCACGGTAACTATCCTTACTTTCCTATTGACTTAGGCTGAAATTCTGTATTACTTACATTGTCTTACTATGACTGATCTTAATTGTATCTGAATCATAAGACTATTGGTTGGCCTTGACTGATCCTATTTGAAATCGGTATGCGTGTTAGAATCAACCCTAAAAGTAGAGGAAACTACTCTGAGCATGACAAGATGTAAAGGATATCCATACTGGTATGAATCAGTAACAGCTCTCAAATACTACAATGCAGTCAAAGATAAGTTTTTATAAAAATAGGTGATAGTATGTTTAACTATAATAAGCCAGTGTTGTCGACAAATCTATTGAAAATAACAAGAGAAAACATAGTAGCTACGGAAGATCATTTATATTATAGTTTTATAAGTCCTATCCATTGCATGTTTATCTAGGAAATTGTTTCGTTGTCTTGTTATGACTTGGTTTTCCCTATAATACAGAGAGGATAGGAACAAATACTCTGAGGAAGAGACCTGAAAAACCCGAGGCTTATTTTGTAGCATTATAATATAAATTCTAGCAATCTATTGCTTGCTGATTAAAATGACTCTGGACTGGTTTCTTCAGCTCAACTTCAGCATATGCAGAGATGGGGACGGCTATCACAAAGAGAATGAGAGATGCGATGGTAGTTGGTATTGTCTTCCCTAATTTGGAACTTGAGGACCTAAAAAGACTCCATCATCCTGTAATGATTTGATTAGTTCTATAATATGCAATAAGTATAGAAAGTGGGTGAAGTTAGGGACAACTATTTGTAAGAAGCTAGAGACAGTTAGATAAGGTAGATCTCCAGTGGACTTGCTTTGAAATCTGTATTTCTTTAAATTGTTTTTTATTTTTTTTAAATGTTCTGTTCTGTTTTGATATGGTTAACCTTATCCTCTTAGAGATGTAAAACAAATAGGTGGGACTGATAATCATATTACGGAGCTTTTGTTCGGCCATAGAGCAGAATGGTTTGTAGGGTCATTTTTTTGAATGTCATTCTATATACTTTAATTCTATAACCTGAACAGCCATTTCGAAGATGACAATTTGTAACTTATCAACTGGCAATTTCTTACCTTTTGTTTGTCTGTAATTTAGTATTATTTCTACCCTTTTTTTTAATCTCCATGTATTTTTTTTTCGTTTCCTTTTCTTTAAATAAAAAAAAAATTAAATTTATTAAGGAAACATTTAAAAAATAAATGTAAACTAACCCTCTGCTTAGTATCAAGAAAAAAGTGATTCAAATCATGTTAAGAATCTTTTAGTTAACTACAAATAACTGCTGAAATATCAGATTCCTGGTCATTCAAGTGTACAAAATGAACTATCTGAAATGGGCCTAGACCTCTGATGAACAGCAAAGAAGGATGGGAAGGGGTCCTTTGCCCACCAGCTCCACTAGTCATCCCAAACCAATGGCATACTATCACTGTGGACATGTCTTCAGCGTTGAGCACACTTTAAGGTGGGCTCCAGGCCACGGTGAATTTCACAGACCTTAGCTGGCTTGGGAACTAATTTCTGAGCAGTGCACCTCACACCAATGGCTGCGTGCTATGCTTGCAAGGGCAGCACTTACTTTGAGCACATCAGTCGGTACTTACCCTGCTGTCTCTGTATATATCAAACACAACTGTAAAGGAGAAAAAACTCAGTTACCAGTGCGCTAATATTTTCACAATGCAAAGTTTGAAAATTAAAGTACATTTTATTGCTAAACAAAGTGGAGTATTTGGCCATGAATACTTAATGCTTCTAAGCCTCAAAACTTCAAACATTAAAATGTACACTTGAAATAAAAAAATGAACCCTGCACTGATTTTTTAAATGTAATTTTGTTTGCTTCTTCTGTATCCCTAACTATAACATTCCCTTGAATCTAAAAATTCACACAAAACACACACATTATCTCAGCCAACTCACTAGTGTAACTGGCTGCACTGGAATGAAGGAATCTGGCACCGAGAAAGTACTCACGTGAGGAGCACCCATCACCAACCCGGGAAAGAAACGTGTCAAATCTACAGTACTAAAGCAGAAAAATCTAATGCCACTGATGGCACGACTCACAATTTTTAAACCAAATTTGCCAAAGAACACAGTCTTGGCAAATAGGGAAAAAGTATATCACAGCAGATATAATTTTAAGACGTACAAAAATTCTCCAATACACTGCATACTTTCAATTATTAAAAACAACTCCAAAGATTTACTTTGTAATTGCCCTTTTATTCAAACATGGGTGCAGCACCTCTTTCTCTAGATGAACTCTGTAAAATACACAAACATCTAGACTGCAGGACAGAGAACTGCCTCAGCAATAAGAATGCATTCCAATTAGTAAGATGAACCAATATGCAAACCACTGGCAACATAACCAGTAACACAGTATTCCAAATTTGGTATTTAAATCAGATGCAGTTACACATGTGCTTTAATTCACTACAATGTGCCAATAAGAATACTTACAGTCTTCATCTAAGAATTTATATTGTATGTGCTTCTTGAAGAACTCTTGTATGGATCTGCAAATTTCTTCCTTTTGTTTGCAAATATGATCATAGTATTGTGTGTAGTCCCTCTGAGAAATACCTGATGAGAAAATATTTACTGTTATACAATATTCTTTGAAAAAAAACTGGCATGTAATGAAACTTTTAAGAAAACCATTAAAGTAGGTCAGAAGATTAATCAGATGAATGCTGCATAATACATTACTCACTTGAAAAGATTATATCGATAAATGAATTCTGAGGTTTCAGGTTACTATGCATTCTTACTTTTAGAAAGTTCTTTTTTTGTATAGCACGAGAAAACTTTAGTCATAAGAAGGTTTGTTATGTGAAAAGTAAAAGCAACAATTTTAAACCTGCACATATGGTCAACTGCTGGTACTTTAATTTTTCTAAGAATGTCTCTACACATTGGTATTCTCTTCTACATTTTTTGAGGAAAATTTAAAATATTTCATATCATTTGCCATATTCATACTGAATTTTATGGGAGTTGTTTTTCTTGTTTATACTTATAACTCTGCCTTCCCAAGTCTGATCTTTCAAGTGATGGAAAAATAAACATCTTTTCAAAGTGATCTGTTGACATTACTCCAAATGTACTGAAGAATCTACTGAATGAACTCCCAAAATATGCTATTTCCTACAGTAAAGGACTCTGGTCTGAAATAGGGCTTCCACGTCCCTCTTGGTAACACAGTGTAACTCCATTCTTTAGCACAGACAGCACTCTTTTTAAAGAATTTCTAACAACATGAAAAATTTAAATGCTCCAAGTTTCTTTTAATTATGTTAATAAATGTCAACATCATATCCAATGAGTGTGTATATTCTATTCAAATTACACTTTTCTTGATCAATGGTAAAATTTATTTCACAGAAAACATGCAGATCAAATATTTAAGAACAAATTAACTTCAATATATAACTTACATGAATCATAGCAAACAGAATAGTAATGTAAAAGAATATGGGTAACAGTACTTTACTCATCTTTCCACATTTTTTCTTTTGCTAGAAAAATAAACAGTGCTCTAACAATAGAAACACAGGTTCAAAAGCTTAGCTTTTTATGAGGCTTAAAACAAGTAGTTGCGAATAATACTTGTAAAATTTCGAATAAAAAGCAGGTAACATTACACATATGCCAAAAGTGATGCTTACCAACAATATTTCAGACAGTACCAGCTGGGTGGAAGTGGCCCCTCATATTAAAGCTGAGGATAACTCTATCCTATTACCAGAAGTTGCTACCCATCTAAAGCCTGGCTTCTTTGGTTTTATTTTAAATTGACACATAAAAAGAATACCTATTTGCATGCAGCATGATGTTTTGAGATAATGATTAAAATTATTTATTTACATAATGGAAAACTTTTCAGCCATAAAAGAAAATCCAGACATTTATTGTCTTCTTCTAAAGATTACTTTCAAATGTAAAAAGAACTCACCAATTAGCTTATTCTCCTTGACAAAACATCGAAATTCAGCCCCAGGAATTAATTCACACCATTTTCTGAGAACAAGCTGTAGACAAAGGAAAAGAATGTAATATAGCTATGCAAGGTCTAACAGAAAATTTCATGCAAAGATTATTTCTTAATAATTGTCATTAAAAATGATTCAAAACCAGGTGGCATCATAAAACACAAGTGTCATGGTTTATGTTGTGGCTCCCTGGCCTCATGTGCTTGCATTATGCATTTGTGATTGGTTGATTGTCTAGTGCTTGGATTGGGGGTGTGACTGCAACAGCGACTAGGGGTGGAGCCAGGATGTGATGTAATGGCAGGAAAAAGGTGTGTCTTTCTTGCCTGTTTCCTCCTTGCTGTTTGCAGCCACCATGAACTGTGGTCCAGGCCTGCCGCCCTTCCTCAGAGCCAACTGAGTATGGACTGAAACCTCCAAAAACTGTAAGAAATAAACCTTTCCTTTCCCAACTTTGGGCATCAGGTATTTTGTCTCAGCGACAAGTAAAAAATAACTAAGGCAACAAGGTTTAGGAAATACAGGAGTGTTGTATTAGTCTACTAAGAAGGAGAAATTGTGCTAAAACTTTTTAGGGCAAAAATGTACCTTTGAGAGTTCTAACACAGTACACAACACCAAGGATAACTAAGTAGAATCTCACCATGACTGTGCCACAAGCTGCCCTGTAATTCATGTTTTGCCCTCTTTAGGAATAGAAAAACTACTACTAATGATTTCAAAACAGGGAGCGGAGCTGTGTGGTAAAGAACTTGCCTTGTATGCATGCCCTAGATTGATCCATGGCAGCACTCACATATATAAATTCAGTAACCCACTCTAAGTACCATTGGGTAATCTGACTCTGATTAAGTTATTGTTAAAGTTTATCACAAAGAATCATACATGATCCTTCCACAGTTTTTGTATTATTTTAAAGTAAACCAATTATACCATGGATCAGATCATAATTAGTCTAATATAACTAATATATTATTATATATAAACTTTCTTCTATATGGAATTGTTACAACTTCAGGGAAAGTACAGTTGACAAATGTTTTCTATTTTTGTCTTTGTAGTTGATCAGTCCTATTTCTTTTTTTCCCTAGGAGAGTGGACTGATCCTAGAAAAGAGTGAGGTATATCCTCAGCCCTTTTAATTTAATTTAATTTTTTAAATTTTGAGACAGAAGTCTGGTGTGGTAGTGCATGCCTATAATCCTAGTACTTAGGAGGCTGAGGCAGAAGGATCACCGTGACTTTGAGACCAGTCTGCGATACATATTGAGTTCAAGGCCAGCCTGAACTATAAAGCGAGACCCTGTCTCAATAAAACAAACCAAAACCAAAACCAAGAAAAACAAAAAAACTTGTTTTGAGACAGGTTCTCACCAAATTGCCCACCCTAGCCTCAAAACTGCAATCTTGCCACTTGGGCCTCTAAGGAACTGTGATTACAGGTGGGCTCCTCCATGCCCAGCCCAACCAGGCCCACTCTTTTGTAGCATTAGCGATGACAAGCGGCTGGCAATTCCACCTTCCTTCATCATCTGCCCTTCAAGACCTGCGCGCTATAGAACTTGAATTACTCCAGGCCCCGCTCTCTGAACACCTTTGTGAGGAGGGTTCAGTATCTCCTCTCACTCTCTCCCTCCATTTCTTTTCTTCAGTCCTCACAACTGAACCCAGAGCCTCACACCTGCTGGGCAAGAGCCACAGGTGTCTCCCTCCCCAGCCCGCAGACTGCCCCTGTCCATGACCATCTCCTGTTACACAGCAGTGCAACAGCCTGATTCATGCCTCTCCCCAAGCTAACTCGTGAGCAACCTAAGGCCAGGAACTGGGCTTTATTGATCCTTCTGTACCAGCACAAGTATGGAAACCATGGCAGGAGCATACGTAGTGTTTGTCAAGCAAAGCAGCAAAAATATAAGATAAGCAGCCACTAAAATTTATATTAAAAAGAACAACCTGGGAAAATGCTCCCTTTATAACTTTTAAAAAACTTTAAAATGGTACGCAAAGTATTTATAATGTACACATACATACACAATCAAGAAAAGCAAATTTAAGACCAAAATGTTGATACTGAGGATATATCTGGGTGATACATTCTCTCGTTCCCTGTATTTTCTTCTGTTTTTAGTTTATTCAGAAACTTTTAAAACTATGTCCTAGAAATGTAAAATGAACCAATTTCACTTTTCGTTTTTGTGAGCTCTTGGTTAAGTCTTGTATATGTCATATTTTAAAATTAAATTTAATAATTCAAAATTCTTCCTGGGCCCAACCGACGCAGGGGCTGAGAATCAAGAAGCCGGACACCGTCCACCCCCACCCCCATTGTGGGCAATCAGGTGGTCTGGAGGACCGGTGGACGGATGGCAGCTGAGGCTCAGAGACACCTGGAGGCCTGTGTTGTTCGGCTAACATTGCGGGCCTAGGGCTGGTGGTCTGAGCATGTATTGGGTCGATGACAGTGTGCAGTGTGATGGGTCTGGGGGTTTCCTTCTGCTTTGTTTTTGAGGTCCAGTTTTGTTTTGTTCCGATTTGTTGTGCTGTTTTGTTCAATGTTCTGTTTTGGCTGGTTTTGTTCCACTTTGGCTAGTTTTGCTCTGTTTTGCTGTCTGATTTTGCTATGTCTAATGGGAAGGACAATTACTGTGAAGAGGTAGGATAAATTTTGGTGGCCACTGTTGATTTGCTACTATCCTGCTTCAAAGTTCTGTACCACTTTCACTGCTTTGTTTTGATTGCCTTTACTCTGTTTTGTTGGGTTTTATTCTCTTTAAAATTAAAAAAAAAATTAAAATTCAAAAAGTAATTAAATGAAGAAGCGCAGGCCAGGGGATTAGCTCAGCGGTGTAAGCACCTACCTGGCAAGCACGAGGTCAGAAGTTTGATCCCCAATACAAAAAAAAATCCTGCAAACTAAAGTATCATACAGTTCTTATCTACTAAAAAGGTAATGTGTGAATAAAATGGCTACAGTAACTTTTATTAGCAACAAAAGAATAAAACTGTACTCACTAATTTGGGGGACATGTGTATAATCTTTACTAAAATAATTTTGTACATTATATACAATATATTTTAGTTAATTTTTATTTATTTATTTAGGTACCAGGGATTGAACTCACAATCTTGTACTCGCCAGGCAGGCACTTACACCACTGAGCTAAATCCCTGGCCCTATGGGTCATTTTCACTGTACTTACTTAAGGAATATAATTTTTGCAGGTTTAAAACTAGCTTTAAATTTCATGCACCACTATGATGATAGCTTATTTCTGAAAAATGAAAGAGCAATTTACTGCTAACTAAATCTTAGAAGAAATGATAGTATCAGCAAAGATTAAGCCTCAGGGGAAGGTTTACAATCTTTGGTGTTTCCAGAACAAATAAGGCATGGCAGGCACTTCACAGATAGATATTTGTTCAATGAGACCAGATATATATGAATATTTTATACAGTATAAATGATGCTACAAAAACTAATGATCCTGGAAAATGATTATACTCCACAAGTAAGAGAGAGAGAGAAAAAAAGACAAATGGTACATAAACATTTCAGTTACAACTGCTCTAAGATTTACTAATTATTTGGTACCCTGGTACACAGTAAATTAAGTGTTTCACATATACTAGATAATCATAGGATATATGCCAATATATTAACCACACTAAGAATTACTCGGTACGGTCAGTCAGTAGACGATTTCTGTGTGTGTGGCGCTGGGGTGGAACTGAGGGGCCTCATGCATGCTGGGCACGGGCTCTGCTACTGAGCTACATCCCCTGTCAAACCAATTCTGAAAGCATACATATATGCAAAAGTGTCTCTAGCAAACAAAAACTTAAAAAATCACTAATTCTAAGTGGTATTGCAAAGCTAAAGTGAAAGGGTTTGGAAGCATGTATGGAGCGAACATGGCTCTCCTCTCTTACACACGCACTGCCAAGTCTGTATTTTGACAATGCAAGGGCAGAAGAACCAGAGTGACGGTGAGGACCAGCACGGAGCAGGACAGCCCCTCTGGGCTCATTCACGGCAGCCGGCTGCATCCTGGAACACGGCACATCTGAGAGGGTTATGTGTGTGTACATTTTCAAAACTAGGGAACTCTGGAGTGAAAATGGGTTTATTATGTTTAAAATCCTTAAAACTTGCAATAAAGTTGCCTTTTAACTTTTAATTCTCATCTTTTTATGTTATTTGTAAGAGGAATGAACAATATTTTAAAGGGGGCAAAATGATGACCTTTTTTCCTGGTACATTGGATTAAAAACTAACCTGGTTCAGCTGGGCTGGAAACACAAACGTTTTTATTTTAATCATAAATACTTACATTGTTAATATGTATATATATTCTTTTATATGTATGATAAATTTCATAAATTTAAAAATTCAGTGTTTCTAAACACTCAGGAAAATTAATCCAAAAATCCATTGATTTATCTTAAGAATAAATAGCATTTTAACATTTGGGACTATCAATATAATTGAGGAAAACAGGTTTCTTACCTCATATTCTATACAAGGATCTGGAGAATCATCAGTACAGTGAATAAATCTTTGGAGAGAAAAAAAAGGCAATTTTTTCTTACTTATATAAGTTTATGCACATACTTATATAAATTAGTGTGTGTGTGTGTGTGTGTGTGTGTGTGTGTATACAATTTTTTTTTTGAGATAGGCTGTGTAGTTCAGGCTGGCCTTGAACTCACTATGTAGTCTAGCCTGACCCTGAACTTGTAGAAATTCTCTTGCCTCAGCCTCCCAAGTGCTAGGATTAAAGGTGTCACTATAGAGTCCAGCTATCATACTAATATTTAATGTGAATTGGGTTTTATTAAAAGCATCAAAGGATTAATTCAAATTCAATGATAAAAACATTTATTAAGCACATTCAATTCTATGCATTAGCCTAAGTACTGCAACATAATGTTAAGAGTTCGTTTAGTCATGCACATGGTATAATCCATTTTCTGTCAAAAAGGTAAGGAAATTAAGAACCAAAAGAGTTCAAATGTAACAAACGAGCCAGGACTCTAAGTTAGCCTCCACACTCTTGACAAGGCAGATGCACTGCCATTTCATCCACTCTCACTGAGTTCCCAGGGCAGGGCCAGCGGGCAGACCACTTCTCTCATTCTGCGTGTGAAGTCATATGGTCAATCCCCTCCTCCTACACACTCTTAAAGTAAGATCTGGTTGACAGCATATTCAGTACCCCACTACACATCTCTCTGTGAAAACCCTGCTTCATCAACAATACTGTGTACCATTCATTAACCTGTGCCAGAGACGGGGCTGGGCACCCATAATGCTAAAATAACCACAATGGCTCTGTCAGCCACATCTGGTGGGGAAAGCTAACGAGTAGACAAAGAATCTCAAAACACCGGGAGAAATAAGACAAAATATTCCAAGAGCAGAGGAAGAACTGAGCGGCTGTGTGCCATGTGTGGGTGGGAGAGAAGCAGTGGTTGACAAGAGGCTCATATTTATGGCAAAGAAAAATATGCCAAGGCACAGAGGGAAGTGAGACCTGCTTCCCAGTGTACAAAGAACTGCAGGAGGTCAGTAACCATGGAAGCAAAACGCAAGGGCGGAACTGCTAAATGCCTGGACTGGACAAAAGTTTCGGCTGGCACAAGTACCCCGATCACAAAGGGTCACATCTGAACAAGGAGGAGTTATAAAGGTCTCAGCTATGTAAGGCAGGTTACTTCATGCAGGCACGCAGATGTCTGCAGCACAGCGCTGTCAGACCTATTTGGGGAAAGGATAGCAATGCAGGCATAGGGGAGATACTAGTAACTGACCAGAAATAAGCAAACTCAAAAGAGGGAGAAGTTGAAGGCAGTATTATTTGGAAGAAATAACCACACTGTTACAGAAGCTGAAGCAGAAGTGACTGCTTGAGGCAGATGAAAGCATCCTGGAGAATACCAAGAATCGAAGAGTGCACAGCAGCAGAGAAGCCAGAGATAAGCTCAGTGAAAGAAATGACGGCTGCAAATCAGAGGGAGAGGGTTCGGCCAGGGAAAGAGAACTGGCTTGGCCACCTCAGGTTAGGCTGGCTGCCCCCGGGTCTGTAACTGCTGCACAGCAGGCTCACAGGATGCTCGCACAGGTGAGAAACGATCACAGAGCACCCAGGCCTGAAAGGGCGCTAAGGAAACTAAAGCACATCCCTTGGACGGCCTGACTGTGCAAGGTCGGAAAGAGGCATGTCACACGGAGAAAAGAAGACAGTCGGCTGTCTTCAGTTTTTATTTTTTGACTCTAAGAATCAGCAGGTCTCCTAACAGAAAGCAAAAGGAAAGAAAAGCAAAATGGCACACACATACACACGCACGTGCACGTGAGAACAATACATAAAACAATATTTTCTTCGTGATGCTACCGATCAAACTCAGGGCCCAGCATATATGAGGCAAATGTTCTATTACTGAGTTACATTCCCAGCTTGAAAATACTTGTAAATATGTTTGGGGAAACAGCATAGCTCAGTGGTGGCTTAGCACATGTAAGGCCCTGGGTTCAATCCCCAGCACCCTCCCCGCAAAAAAGAAAAGCGTCTTAAGTCATTCACAAATAAAACTGAAAAGGTTTTTTATTTCCCTAACTACATGATTATGTGATTTACACAACAAACTGTAACCGATTTAGTTTATCTAATCAGTTGAAAATCCTGAGAAAATAGAATTTCTACTACTGCTAATAATTGGGTACGGACTGGTACAATCTGCACTGCACAAACAGGTACACATGGTGTTTTGGGTAAGAGCTAGTGGCTTTTCTCTACACTCGCTGGCTTTAAATACTGAACATCTATTATGTGGCAGGCACCACGTGAAGTACTTTATTCTAGCCGTGTAGTTAAATCCTTGCACTAATCCTATGAGAACTGCTGTTACTGCTGTCTATGCTTTTCACAAGAGGGTGCCACAGCCCAGAACGGTGAGACAACAACTGTGTGGGGGTGCACTGTATCACATGCACACTTTTCTTCTCAGGCACAGAGAGGTCTAGAGCTGTTACTAAAATATCTATGTAACTTAACAACAAAAGGACAACCAAACCAAAAATACCCTCCAGCAATACTGGCAAGCCTTTACGCTCTGGCACCATTGTTAAAAAACAAAAACAAAACAAAACCTCAACATTAACCAAATTCTATTTCCATAGTATAAGATGGATCTTCCGAATGCCAATGTGTGTAAAACTTCTGTTTTATACATTTGAGAACACACTGGTGGTATTTTAAGACCTCATTTTTCTCTGGAAAGAAAAAAAGAATCCCTTGCTTCACATCAAACTAATTTAAAGATGTTACCCAGAGGACCTATAATCCAAGACTAGGAAACTGACTTTAAATATATTTAATTTTTTAAAAATAAAAATTAATCTCAGAGGTTGATTCACATTAATCAAAATTAAGGTCATGAACTATCAGGTTAATAAAAGCTAACATAATTATATTATTCATAAAAAAAAACCCTTTTCCCTCCCAGCTTTAGCAGATGGAACATCATTAGGGATGTTTCTGAACTGCTCCACTCCACATTTTCTGTGTTTGGACACAGAGCAAAATTAAGAGACTAGTAAAATACTCTGAGTTTGATAATCTTCAAAAGGAGAATAGGAAAATGTTTCATTGAACATTAAGGAAACGAGGGGCCTGAAGTTAAAAAAAGAAAAAAGAAAATTGCAGTCAGGATCTTGGGCCTGTACTCTATTACAACGGTTCTCCAACACAAAAAATCTCAATCGGAAATGCTTTGAAATGCAAAACTTTTTGAGAATCAACATAATACAAGTGGGAATTTCTACATCTGCCCTCACGTGGCAAATCAGTCATTTGTGCACTGAATACGTATAAAGATACCTTCAGCCCACATGGGTGGAAGGTGTGTATGACACAAATCAATTTTATGTTTAGACTTGGGTTCCATTCCCAAGGACCTCTCTGTATTTGCAAATATTTCAAAAATCTGCAAATACCAAAATTCCAAAACATTCCCAGTCCCAAAAATTTCACATCAGCTATTCAACCTGTATTATCTTAGGAAAGTCAGCTTCTCTGGATGGCTTAGTTGTCTCACTAATAAAGAGTACACAGAACTGGGTGGCTTACAATGTTTTTTGTGCAAATTTGTACACAACTTGGCAGGTCTTCTCCTTTTCTTTCTGCATTTATCTGCTTACGTACTTTATACACAATGAATCACAGGGTACGTTTAAGCATACTGGGTTTGGAAATAGAGGATTGGAATGACCCTGGAGTATTTTCCAAAATCCATCCCTAGAGATCTTCATTAAGCGTTCAACATGGGGCTCAGATTCATTTGTGTTAGAGAAGGCGATTCTTAGGAGAAGCCCCAGTGCTAAACCTGTAAGAGGTCCCTGGACGGATGACAGGAAATGCGCATTAGCCAGTTCCAGGCCTCTTCCTCAGTGATGAAGAAGCAGGCACACAGAAGAAGCCACACACTGGCACAGACAAGGGACCCAGCACAGCCTGTGGTGCAGCAGTGTCCAGTAGCAACACTTAGCATGGTCACTGCAGGACTGAGCTTGCTTGCAAGTGCAAGCAGGTGGCCATTCTGTAAAAACTGTCAAATCGGTGGCTAAGTTAGAAGGATCCAAAGAAATATGGGTAACTTCATTGTTTCTTTTAAGAGTTAGACATTGAGCAGGGCCTGTAGTCCCATCTGTCTGAGAGACTGAGGCAGGAAGATAGCAAGTTTGAGCCCAAACTGGTCAACCTAGCACCCCAGACCTTATCGAAAGAAATGCAAGGGCAGGGCAGGGGTGGGCAGACAGCAAGAAAACAACTAGCTTGCTGCTGGGAATACAGTTCAATGTGAAGGTCCTGTGTTCAATTTCTAGTACCACAAAAGTGCCCAAAACCCAAAGAACCAAAAAACTGACAAGGAACAATAACAACAAAAATAGGAGTTCTACATAGTAAAACTTTCATTTGAAAAATTCTCTAGTGTTGTGTTCCCTCAACAGATTAAACATTTTAATTAGTAATAAATGTTAATTTAAAATTTTAGGAATTCTAATATGAAGTCACTAAGGCTAGGGATGCAGTTCAACAGTGGAATGCTTGCCTAGCATAAATAAAGCAATGGGTTTTATCACTAGCAACACACACATGTCATTTTATTATTAAAACATTTTTCTCAGATCCTTTTAAATTCTAAATGAAATGTGTTAATAATCCATATAGTAAACTGGGCATGGTGGTACACATGTGCAATCCCAGCACTTGGAAGGCTGAGGCAGGAGGATCGCTGTGAGTTCAAGACCAGCCTGGTCTACATAGCAAGACTCTTTCTCTAAAAAGACGCCCTTCCCCCCATTTAATGAGGAGCAACACATTGTTTGGTAAAATAATTATTCATAAAAGAAAAATGTTTGCGAATATATATAGGTTTGGGTTTTGAGTACTGGAGGTTGAACCCAGGCCTCTGCACATGCAAAGCACGAGTCCTATTACTGAGCTGTTCTCAGTCCCATGAAGCCAATTCAAGAGTACTTCAAAAAAAAAAAAATTACTATTTTAGCTCCCAACCAACCAACAGTTCATTATCAGGATGAATTCAATTAACTGCCTATATTTTCTCTATTTAAATAAACCGTATCTAAAAGATATAATGGAGATGAACAGTAATCACAAAATGAGAGCAGAATAATACAATGTTATCTTGGTAGTTAATGTAGTGACAGAGCTAGTATTAGCTTTCTTCAGTGCATGTACCATATTTAGTTTTGAGACAGGGGTTCATTATGTAGCTCAGGCTGGTTTTCAACTTGTGAGCCTCCCGTCTCAATCTTGCAACACAACCACACTCCTCGATGGGTAATAGAAATGCTTTCATTAATCAACAATACTACAACCACACGCCCAAGCTCCAGAGCCCAGATGCGCAGAGTTGAGGTGCTCCTGACTAATTCATGCCAAGCTCTATTTCCACAGAAGCCTTGAGGCTGGCAAGGGTGAGCTGGCGAGGCAAACTCACCTGGGTGGGCAAGGAGGGCCTGCACAGGTAGTATTCCAAGGCTTGATTTTGAGATACGCCTTATTTAAAGCCCAGATTAAGGATTGATTGAACTGAGATACATGGCTTAGGATAATAGGAAGAGAAGCCTGTTGTCTGGTGATGGAACAAAAGAAAAATGAAGAGAGCACCTGAACTAGGTCAGTGTTCTGTGTGCGGAAGAGCAGATAACGTGAGGTCACGATTTTTAGCTACAGTGAGTGGCAAAGAATGAAGCAGAATTTCCAGCTCTGGAAAAAGAGTCTAAGGAAAAAACTAGGGGTACAAGCAGAGATTTAGTTCAAGGATATTAACTGCAGGGCTTCAAAGAGGAAAAGAGGATTGACAAAACACTGTGCTACTGCTATCCAGAGGCACACTACTAAAATAATGAAAACCGTCACTTTACATAAAGACACACAGAGATGCCACCATGCACTGGCAAATCCAAATGTACTGCTGTGGCTGTGTCTAGATGTCCTCCAAAAGCCTCATGCAGTCACAGATGGGGCTTCTCAGAGGTAGCTGGATCTGGAGTGTGCGATGCTGGGATTAAGACTGTGTGATTACTAAGTCAATCCAAGACTGGCTTGGCATCATTCTGGCTAGGTAGGAGTAAGGGTACTCTACCCTGGGTGTGAGAGCCACCCTCCCTAGGGAAGGGTGGGCAGCCTGGATAAAATACAACAGAAACAGAGCTGGTCCTGGCACCTGCTTGCCACTTGCTGCCTTCTGTCTGCCCTGTCTTGCCACGAACACAGAACTCTGCAATGCCAGTCTGCCAAGCTACCCTGCCTTGGAGCCAGCTGACTATGGACAAACTGTGAGCCAAATAAGCCTTTCCTCCTTTAACTCTGGGTGTCAGGTATTTTGTCTCAGCAATGAGAAGAGTAACTCAGACGTGCATTCTCCTAAGTGACACGATCCATATGATCCTCCCCGCCCTTTTTGAAATCTTATAGAGAGAGGCAGGTATATTTAAGTTAAAGTGGTTCACAAGACAGAATTCTGGAAGTATATAGCCAATTGTGGGAGATCATGGGTACTTTTATATTTCTCAGTTTTGTTTAGCTATAGATCCTAACTTTGCTTTTCAACATATACTGGTTTTATAGTAAGAAAAAGATCTAAAATATTTAAAGTGCACGTATAAAATCCTTGATATTTAGGAATACTAACTGAATAGCTTTTGCTGTAATGGAAAAAGTCACGTTTGCTTTACTAGGTTATCTTTGGAACATGAAATAATTTTATAATAAAGAAATGCTCATAGTAGTACTAGAACTAATGAAATTTTAAAATCAAAAAAACTAACACAGCACTCAAACTAACAATATTGAGAGACAAGAGATACTTACGGCTGAGTGAAGTCACGAGTGATGAAGTCAGAACTCTTGAAGAGCAGAAAGACGTCGCTGAGGGTTTTACACTTCAGAGAGCTATTCATCGCTATCCAGTACGCATCCTAGACAACAGAGCATGTGCTGTTTAGTATATACGCCTGGTACTGTCTACGCATGAAGCTCAGGCCTACACATGAAATAAAAAGGCCTTTCGCTGCAAGGGTTAAAAGAAAAACTCAGATACATCTTAGTAATACTGTCAAATATCAAATTATGCTTTTCAACACCAAAGTGTATGACCGTGCAGGGAAGACACTTGGTGACAACCCTGACTAGTATAGTGGGGTCCTCGTATTTCGGCCTGGGCCCAGTACTTCCCAATGTTTCCTTACTGATGTTGGAAGGAGGGAAAACAGAGTGTAAGAAATGCACTGCAGCTAAAAGGTTAATGCAGTAAAGCGGCAGCCTAACTCGCTGCTCTCCAAGAATAAATGAAGTCACTTCCTGTTTCTGGGGAGTGACAGCAGAAGACCTGTGCCTGGATGACCGGGCAGGTGAGACCTATGCTTAGCAAATCTGGGCGGAGCCTAAGTGTGATGCTCTAAGCCGTGACGACTTAGAGTGTGAAATGTCTCAGACATATGAACAACAACTACAAAATAGAGGAGTATCAGGTACAAAGCCTAGTGCAGCATGTCTGAAAATGACACGATCCTGAAGTTATACTTCTGAGAAAATGAATGACTATAAAGAAAGCATTCACACTACATGGAAAATACTCGGGTATACAGAAGGCATGTGGTAAATAACAAATGGATCGCTTACAACCACAAATACCCTGCCCATCTTAAATGCAAGGCCTTGTCTCAGTTCAGCAGCAAGGGAATGGTTAAAGACGCTGCTTACATCGCTGGTGTGGTGGCTCATGCCTCACAGTTACTTGGGAGGCTGAGGCAAGAGGATTCTAAGTTTGAGGCCAGCCTGAGCAAGACCGTCTCAAAAAAAAAAAATGTACAAAAATATTTGAAAGTGCATCAGAGAGCAGGAAGCGGTGAAGTTAACCAGGTGTCAGGACACGCTGACTTTTAGAGTAAGTCTATACTTGAAACATTTCAATTATGTACATGCATAATTAATTTTAAAAAGTAAAACCCAAAATTAGATTAAATACAAGTTATTCACTGTAGAATAAAAAAGGAAAGGCAGGAAATGCATTTTGAAAATGCAAAGCAGCCCTCCCTCCCATGTTGCTGTGTCCCTGGGTTCTAAGCACAGGGTCTTCCATGAGCCACATCCCACCGCTTTCTATTACTTTTCTCTCGAGATAGGGTCTCACTAAGTTGCCCACGCTGGTTAAAGCCAGGAGTGTGCCACTGTGCCTGGCTAGACTTTAATTTCTTAAACGAGTTTTGCTGACATGAAATTATTTTCTATTGGATAATAAAAGTAGTGAGATCTGCCCCTGGACCTTAACTTCTCCAAAAGTACTGTCCATGGGTTGATAAAATAGAAAAACAGGGTCAGGAATACAGCTCAGTGGCACAGCATCTGCCTGGCAAGCACGAGGTCCTGAGTTCAATTCCCAGTACAAAAAAAAACAAACCAAAACATGGTGTAATTCTAAAATAGGAAAACACACTGAAGAAAATATCAGCTGATTTCTCAAATTATAACTTGATATTTTAAATATTATTTTTTCAACAGAAAAAATTCTCTTTTAAACAGTTGAAGTTTTGAAAAGGGCAGAAAATGAACATCAGAATTCTAGCACAATTAATGGCAACACAAGAGGGTGAGACTGTCATTTGGCAGAATAAACAGTATTTCACAGAGCCCAGGAAATATACAACAAAATTAGAAAAATAGAAAACAGGTGAATACTAAGAAATTCCAGGTGTTTCCCCCTGGAATTCAGTACAATCAGACCCTCTCTGTGGGAACACGGCGTGGAGGAAAGCATCGCCAAGACAGCTGGAACAGGAAGTTTACTTCTACGACCCTACCCTTGGGGCACTCCAGTTGAGCTTAGGGAAGACGCTGCCCCCCAGAGAATTGATGGCTTCTTGGACTTTAGTGGTGAACTCTGGAAATTCGGGTGCCTATGGAGAAAAAGATCATTGGGGCAAGTCAGCATCGTATCATCATAGCAAACACTGAAAGCATCAAAATCTCAAGGTTACAATCTACTACCTGAGTTTATGAACTCACCTACACAAGATCAAGGATCAAATAATATTTACCAGCAAGAGAAACAAAATTACTCAAATGGCACTTCTCAAAATAATCAAACCCTCCAGATCTAAAACGACAGATGTTATACAGCACCTAGCACGTGAGGAAGGAATGAACTAGTTCATTCTGTATACCTCCTGCAGGCCAGAGATTCTACAGACAGTAATGGCGATAACCCTGTACCCAGACAGCGGTTCTCAGAATAACAAGGCAGGCGTCCTTCAGAGCTAGACTCTGCTTTTCTGTGAGGAGTCCTGGACAAAGCCCCAGAAGGTTTCATGGGAGTGAAAACCGATGTACTGAATCATCCACACTGCCATTTCCAGGCAACTTTTAATATAAACCAAGTTCAAAGGTAAGACCTTGGTCCTTTTTGGTTTGTTTAACAATGTGTATTTTTTTAAATGTGTATTTTATATAAGCAAGTAATAGAAACATTCTAAGTATGCATTTAAACCAAAAAGTAACAGATATTGCTGTTAAACAGCAATATACGTTACCAAAGGAGCTCATGGATGTAAGTTGGGGAAAAGGAGGGAGGAGAGGAAGGAGTAGAGCTTTCAGGAGAGGCAGAGCACAAAATACTAAGGAAATTCCCCACCTAAGAATTTAACTGCAGAGTCCCTCACACAGGGGGTTGCTGCCCCCTATCGCCCAACCTGCAAATTCTGGGAAACATGCAGCCACTGGTCTACGATTAACTGAACATCCCAAAATAAAGTCAAATGCTGGACTGCAGGTAGTTGCTCCCCAAGTGTTCCTCAAGATAAACAAACATTTCTAAATAGTTTTAAATTCATAAGTGACATCTTATAATATAAGTACCTCACACCAAATGTCAGATGATCATAGGAAATTCTTTCCCCATCTCTCACTGCTTTGAAATACAGTGTACTTTGAAATGTCCTGCATTATGAGCAGAATAAATTATTCTCAGAAACCAAGGTTTTACTGTAAATCAAATGGCTTATGTGGAACCCCAATATCTAGCCCCTTTTACAAGAAAGAAAAAACTGATAGGATTCTGGAAACACCATAGAAGTAAATTTTTAGAATGACAATGTGTTTCCATGAGGCACATTTGTGTATGTGTGTTACTGTGAACTGAACCCAGGACCCTCACATTCAGCTATGCTCCCAGCCAATTTGCCTAACTAAAAAAATTTCTTTTTTATTTTTGAGGCAGGGTCTCACTGAGTTACTCAGACAGCAGCTAAAACTTGTGATCCTCCTGCCTCAGCCTCCCAGAGAGCTGCAATTTCAGGCACAGGCCTGACCAAGTTTTCAACAGTGCTGAAGAGGAAACCGAAGGGGTTCTGCACACTGTAGCTGGTGCTTTTCTCTGCTAAGAATGTTCTGCCATGCATGTGCCTGCCCAACTCTATCTAGTTCCACATACTGAAACCTAAATACTTTTTAAAATTACGCATCTTTAAATAACTTTAGACTTTCAGAAACATCACAAGGGTGGTACAAAGAAGGTCTATCCACTCCTCATCTCTACTCTCCATCTTATTACATTTGGTTTATCATTCTGCCTCCAAACCCCGCCCTAAATCCATGCATGTGTCTACTTCTTTATATTTACATACATAAATACATCTTTTTTCCGTCTGTTTTAGAGTAAGCTATGGCCACTAAGACTCTTTACCATTAAATACTTCAAAGTATATTTTGTCCTTTTTATTTTTGTTTTGTACTGAGGATTGAACTCAGGGCATCGTACATGCGAGGCAAGCACTCTGCCACGGAACTATTTTGTAAAATGCTGTCTTAACATTTCTTTATACATAGTGTAATAAAATGATCAAAACCAGAGAGCTAAAACAGATATAGTAATATTACCAAATCTATAGATCTTATTCAAAGTTTGCCCATTGTCCTAATAATGCCTTTAATAACAAAAGAATGATAAGTTTTGCTCTGGTCCAGAATCTTGTATTGATTTCCACGTGTGTTTCTTGAATTTCTTTTTCCTTTTTTTTTGGCACCAGGAATCGAGCTCATGAGTTTGCGCTTGCCAGGCAGGCACTTGTGCCAGTGAACTAAACCCTGGGTCCTGTTTCTTGAATTTCTAATCCAAAATTAGTACTTGTTTTTGCAGCACATATACCAAAATATTCAAGTCTGAAGCAGGTGCTCTCTGTGGGTTGATATTTTTGAAGAGTACACACAAGGGCAGTGGGCTATACGATTTCCACAAAGCTGCCCTGAGTGGGTGTTCCCACAGTCAGTTACTCAGTGCTAACTAAGGGCTGTATCTTTCCTGAGATCTGCATCATGAGGCAGAGGTCAGAGGCCTGTCCCATCACGCTGACCACCTGGCTGCCAGGTCTTTTCACTGTGTACCCACCATTTTCCCTTTCGCACTTAACAAGTAATTTGGATGGACATACTTTGAGAATAAATATACCAATATCCTCTTTCTCATTAAATATTCATTTACTAGCTAAAAGCTCTCAATCATTATTACCAGGGTGGTTGCCAAATGGTGATTTCTATCCACTTATTTAAATTGACCACTCATTGATGTCAGTTAACAGCTGTGAATTCTTCATCAGTGATAAGTCTTCTTTGGGCAGGGGTGTACTGGGAATTGAACTCCTAACCTCGTGCTTGCCAGGAAGGAGCTGTCCTGCTGAGCTAATCCCAGCTAGTCTATTATCGTTAGTATTACTGTGATGCGCAGGCCCACAGGGTTTTAGCCAGCAAGGACTCATTCAAGGTAGCTGCTGGGGTCTTTCTTTCATGTTCTCATCATTCTTTCCCTAGTTTTCTGGCACAATACACATCTGTGGACTCATTTTTACTTTACTTTAGTCCTTAAATTATTTATATTCTAGGTCACCCAAATAAAAATAGCTAAATTATGAAAGCATAAATCCATCAGATGAATGGATAAAAGAAAATGTGGTATATGTACATAACGGAATACTACTCGGGCATAAAGGATAAATTTGAGTTATTTATAGGAAGACAGATGGACCCAGAATATTTCCACATGTTAGTTTAAGTTACATGCTATGCTCTCACGTAAAAGAAATGACAACGCTATGCCATTTAAATATACTTGAATATGTATATGCAAATTTTTCATTTAGCTCCCATCAATCTTAGAACCTCGGAGTTTGTATTTGGCTCGAGTCCATCTTTCAGGGTGCAACAAAACAGGCAACACAGCAAATGTGCACTTTGTCTCCTTTGTAATCAAAGGGAACAATGAGAGGGCACACTGCATCTGCCTGCTAAAGAGCGACTGGAGTTATTTTTTGGAATCCATGGCAGGCCCTAACAAGAAGACCCAGCAGCGGTGAGGACACGGGACTTCCGGAGGTGAACACGGAAAGCTCGAGCCATGTCCTGCGTGATGCTGGGAGGCTGTCTCCACCCGGGCCGCTGAGCGCTTACCGTGAGCGTGGCTGTGTTCTCGTCATCAGACCACTGTGTGGGCAAGAGGACAGAAACACAAGGTTAACGTGAACACCGTCTCAGGATTACACAGGCAGCACACCCGGCAGCTAAAAACGACTCATAGGAATAAGCATCTTTTCTTGAACACAAAGTATACATAAATATGTGCATCAAAGTAGTACTTCAGAGGACTTCTTCCTTTAGTGGATGTAAGATCTGGGGACTTAGCTCAGTGGCATAAGTACCTGCCTTGCAAGCAGGCAGTCATGAGTTCTATCCCTGGTACTGGTAAAAAGAAAAAAGACAAAAAAAAAGAAAAAGATCTAACCAGCAAACCCATTTCAGAGGTCATTTCAATTAGCACCATCTACTGAACAGGTGATTTTATTTCCTACCAACCTGTATTTCTTCTGCTTCATCGTCACTGTCTGGCTGAGAGCGTGTTGGAGGATCTTGCCTAAAATCATAAAGCAAAATTGAGTAAGACAAAGACTCTGGTGCTGGGTAGTCATAATTTCAAGTGTATTAAGTTTTTCTGTCAAAAAGCAATATAAGGAAAAGTTCACTTTCTGAGACAGAAGCTGGTAAAAATTAGTGTGGAATCAGTAAGAGCGCACTGCCAGTAAGAGACAGCAAGACAGACTCTTGCCTTTTCAGAAATCATCAAAATCTACGTAAAGAAAAAGTCGTACTCCATCTCTGGAAATACTGTAAGAATCATCTGTGGCTCTGACCCCAAAGTATGAGAAAGCCCTGCCAATGACAGGGAAGATCTGACAGAAGGGAGAAAGGCACGCAAGGACACACATGAGGAGCTGGCTAAGCACTGACGAGCACCTCTGGGAGCTGCCCTTTGTACCGGGAATCACTAAGGATCTGGACTGGACCATGGAGCTGGAAGGGAGGGGGAATACTGAGGCACAGTGTCTCTGACGAAGCCAGTAGCAAAGCAGAGGGTTAAAAAGGACCATTCAACAGCCGATCTTCGTGGTCCATTCGGGGAACCAAGGCTGAAAGAACTCAGAATCCTCACAACGCTGCCTGGCCACTTCTCAGGGTGCACCTACAAACAGTAATCTCAGGAAGAACTCAATCCGTGGGGGAGAAAATAATAACATAAGCAGCATAGGAGCTTTCAAAGACCCCAAAGGATAAATGGAAGCCTCTGGTGAAACATGTACCTTTCCCTCTAAGTGTCCTCCTTAAACTCTACTGAAATGACAAGAAAAATTCCAAAGACAAAGATGACAAAAAAGGACACAACTACAGAAAAATGTGCTTAGAAAAGTTCTGAAAGGAGAAGACCAGTGGGAAGAGTTACTCAGGAGCAACAGGATGGAACTTAGGGATATCGTGGAAGGTGAGACGGAAGCTCAGGGCCACAGACAAGGCGACGATGACAGGCCAGGGTACTGAACCTTCTGTACCCTGTGTACCCTAGCAGCGAGTCCTCTGCAGCACTTCTGGTAAGCAAGTGAGCAGTTTTTTTCTCTGAAAAGACTGAACAAAAGAGGGTAAGGTTTCAGCGACACAACAGCCCAGAAGAACATGGGGGTGATATGCTAGACTCTGACGCAGAGTTACATAAAGTCCTGGTGAACAGTGGGACCCCTCATCCTCTTCCTCTTCCTCCCACCCTGCTCACACAGTGCAGGTAAGGAAAGAGTTGTTCTCCGTATGAAGTGAATAATCCCAGAGGACAGAGCTACAGAGACTGTGCATCCAGAAATCTCTCAGCAATGATGCCCATGTTTGTGCAAATGTGTCCCCTGCTCTTACATACAAAGGCCTGAAAAATTACAAAACCGAAGAAAAGCTCTAAGAAAAAACTCTTTTTCAAAAAGAAAAGAGGTATGTAGCTGGAAAAAAAAAAAACACAAAAAAGGAACCAACTATAAAATATTTTTTAAAATTACTAGCATCCTCGAAGAAAGAACAGAGTAAACATGGAATTTATAGAAACTGAAAATTCAATAGCTAAAATGAAAAAAAAATACTAATTAGATGGAAAAATAAAAAAGACAAAAGAGAAAATAAAACTCAGAAAATTAACTGAACAACAGGGGCTCCAGGAAACAGGAGCAAGAAAGTTATCATAAAGTATGATAATGTCTGAACTGCAAAATATGTCTTTAAGAATGAGGCTACTAAGTACACAGCATAAGGCATGGAAGGAAAAGAAAAACACCTTACACACACACTGATCTTTCTGATCTGAGTACATGGGCCCTCCGCAGGCCGACTCTGCCACTCCGCCATCAGTAAGTGGCGATTAAATTCTCATGCATTTGGTTTAGCCTGGCTTCAGCACTCTACCCTGCTACCTTTAGAAGGTGTTACGGCTTGTACCTAGATGTCCCCCCAAAGCCTCACGTCATTGGTGAGGCTTTTGCAGAGGTGGCTGATCTACAGCATGAAATGCTGGGATTGCTTCATCGTGCAGAGTTAGGCTCTAAGATTAAGGGCACTAAGATTAAGGGTGTGAGTGCTATAAACTGAAGTCTCCATGAACTGTAATCCAAATAAACTTTCCCTCCCTTAATTTTGAATGTCAGGTATTTTGTCTCAGCAATGAGAAAACTAAGACAAAAGGTAAAAGTATCAGTATAGCCCTTCTCTAAGGCAGAAATGAAAGGAATTGTGCAATTTCACAACTAGCTATTAATAAGAGGGAGAAGTGCTCAATTTTGAAAATATTAACTGAATACTGACAAGGAATATAGAACAAAGAACAACATGTCACTTTAGTTAAGAGAAAAAAATGAATTAAATGACTGAGATCTAAATGACTGAGAGCAGGGCTAAGGATTTAGCTCAGCGGCATAAGCGCCTGCCTTCCAAGCACACAGTTGTGAGTTCGATCCCCGGTACCGACAAAAAAATAAACAAATATATAAATAAAAAATAAAAATATAAATGAGTGAGAAAACAAGCCTAAGTTAATTTATGTATTTTATATGGTAAATGTTGAGACTTCCTCATCATAGCACTTTATGATAAAGTTTAAATAAATCCTTTTTCTTTTTTTTTTTTAATTGGTACCGGGGATTGAACTCACGACCACCTGCTTGCAAAGCAGGTACTTATGCCGCTGAGCTAAATCCCCAGCCCCAATAAATCCTTTTTCTGATATACTTTACCTTCCTGAAACCACCAGAGTTCCGTCATCTAGTAAATAATCCTTTACATTCTGAGGAAGTGGAAGAATGACACTGAAAAAGAAAAACACAGACTTCAAAACAGTCATCCTTGTAAAAAACCAAACACAAAAACAAATCAATAAACTATAAAAAAATTAAAAACCAAACACAGTAGAGACTGTTAACTTTTTAATAATTTGTCCCAGTTATTTTAATATGAAATACAAAATATTACCTTCGTACATTTGGCAGCAGAAAAGCAGTAGTTAGCATAACATGAGCACATAGTCCAGTTCACATAATCACTACAAGAGTCTCTATGGTAAGGAAATAAACAAGAAATGATAAACATAATGAAAGAAATGCTAAACACAGCCAAAGAAGACATAGTTTAAAAAACAGAGGAGCACTGGAGAATGGCAGAAACTCTGAAAGAACAATATAAGAAAGGATTAGAATTCATGAAACAGATTCAAAAAGAGATATCTAAGAAATCAAAGATTCCATCAAATGCTGGCAAAATCGGCTGAATGAATGTGAAGTTAAGATTTTCAGACCTCGATCGTAGCTAATGAACAGGAAAGGAAAGATTTTTAAAAATAACAAAGAATAGGGCCGGGGATTTAGCTCAGTGGCATAAGGACCTGCCTTGCAAGCACGTGGTCATGAGTTCCATCACTGGTACCAAAACCAAACCAAAACAAAAAATCCAACCCAAAGGATCAGGAAATAACATTTCATTTTGCAATATGATGCAAAGAAAAACAATGTAAGGTTGATAGGTATAAACAAAAAAAGGTGACAACACACATCCAGATGAGTGAGGCATATAGCACTCCCAAGTAGCTATAACCAAAATAAATCTACACTCAGACATATAATAATGAACATCCCAGAAATTCAATGTAAGAACAGAGCATTAAAAGATGTTAGAGAAAAGAAACAAATTACCTATAAAGGAAAACCCATTAGAATCACAGCAAACTTCTTTTTTTTTTTTTAATTTTATTTAAAAGAAAAAAGAGAAAGAACAAAACAAAACAAAGCGGTGTAAGGGTACAAGTAATACAGAACTACAAAAAAAAAAAAAAAAAAAACAGTAAGAAATCACCAGTTAATAGATTACATATTATCATCTTAGAGATAGTCACAGCAGACTTCTTAATATAATCAATCAAGTCAAGAGCATGAAGTATTTTAAATCATAAAAGACTTCCAACCCAGATTAATCCACCCTGCAAAGTATCCTTCAAAACTGACACAGAAATAAGATACTTTCACAACAAAGAACAACTGAAAATTACAGTACTCTGAAAAAAAAATCAAAGAGGATTTCAGAAAATGAAAAGACACTGCTTGTTCATAGATAGGAAGAATAAACATTGTGAAAATGGCCATTCTCCCAAAATTCAGATTTAATGCAATTCCAATCAAAGTATGATTAGCATATCTCACAGATCTAGAGAAATCATTCCTAAAATTCATCTGGAACTAGAAGAGACCTAGGATAACAAATAATAATTCTGGGCAATAAAGGCAACACAGGAGGCATCACAAATCCCTGACTTGAAATTTTACTACAAAGTACTGGAATAAAAACAGACCTGAAGATCAATGGAACAGATTAGAAGATACAGCCACAACTACAAAGACATTCAGCCACATTTTCTTTGAAAAAGGGGCCAAATACGTTCAGTGGAAGAGACAGGCTCTTTAATAAATGGTGCTGAAAATATTGGCCTTCCATATGCTGAAAGCTAAAACTAAGACCCATGCACTAAAATCAAAATGGTTCAAAGATTTAAAGATTAAAACAGAAACACTAGATCTGCTGAAAGACAAAGTAGGCAGAAATCTTGAAGACATTGCGTAGGCAGAGAATTCATGAACAAAAATCAAACTGCAGGGGCAATGTTTCCCAGAATCAACAACTGGGATCTCATTTTATTTAAAAGTTTTCGCACTTCAAAAGAAATCACCAACAGAGTGAAATAAAACCCACAGATTGGGAAAAGAATTTTTTCCAACTGTACCTCAGACAAAGGACTTTTATCTAGAACACATAAAGAATTGAAAAAATCAAATTTCAGATCAAATTTAAAGACCCAATCCAAAAATAGGCATCTGAGATGAATATACAGTTCTCAGATTAAGAAATACAAATAACAAATAAATATATGAAAAAATATTCAGTATCATTGGTCATTAGAGATACACTTGCATCTTAATTCAGAAAAAATGACCAAAAGAAATCAACCAATAACAAATGCTGGATTTGGGCTGTGGGGATAAAGGAACCCTTCTTCACTGATGGTGGGAGTGCAGACTGGTGCAACCACTGTGGAAATCAGTATGGAGAGTCCTCAAAAAGCTAGAATTAGGGGTCCCATTTGACCCAGCTATCCCACTATTGGACATTTTCCCAGAAGAATTGAAAACAACGTACCACAGCAATATATATGTATCCATATTTATGGAAGCACAATTTGTAACAGCCAAATCTTGGAAACAACCCAGATGCCCATTAACTGAGGAATGGATAAAAAAGATGTGGTATTTTTATAGAATGGAGCACTATTCAGTTATAAAAAAGGATCACATTAAGGCTTTTTATAGGTAAATGGATGTGACTTGAGACCTCATAAGTGAAATAAATCAGATTCACATGCGTAAATATGATCTCTCTAGTGTAAGAAACTGAAAGAGTAAACAAGATCCAAAATCCTCAGTAAATATTGTGAAAGGGTAAGAAACTGCTCAAAAAGGAAAAATAACTTGGAGAGAGAAAATGAGAAAAGAAGGGAAAAGAAAAAAGAATAGGGGCTGGGGACTTAGCTCAGCGGCATAAGTGCCTGCCTTGCAAGCAGGCAGTCGTGAGTTCGATCCCCGGTACTGATAAAAATGAAAAAGACCAAAAAAGAAAAAGAAAAGAAAGAAGAATAAATAAACTTATATGTATATAAGATAGTTAAGATGATTGTACTACTAATTCTATTAGTTCTTGGAACAGAACAGTTAATATTCATATGATTAGATCAATTTTGTACATCTGTATCTGGTAATCTGAGTAACTCTTTTAAAAATAACTATGCCAAATAACCACCATTGTTAAATTCCTGTCATCTTGTTTAAAAAGATGTTTTAAAACTATACTGCTATTGTTTGGGGGTTTTTGTTGTTATTTGTTTCTTGACTTTCTTGTTTTATTTTGTTTTGGTTTTTTGCTCTTTAAAATAAAAAAAAAGAAAACTAATATAAGTGAATGTTTCCAGGCGCACTGGAAATGCAGGTTAAACCAAAAGATGAATGGTGTCTGGCCACTTTCTAATTAAGATAGAGAAAAAAATTTTTAGATAGAGATCTACTCTATCTACTCATTAAATGCAAGTTGTGGAAATTACTCTTTGACTGACGATGAGCATGTAAGACAAAGGATTCATAAATCTGCATGAGTTTTGCTAACAACTGATCCCCAGAACTACAAAACTGCTTAATGGGACAGATTTTCACAGAATATGTTTCAGGTAACAATAAAGGATGGCAAAGCCACACTTGAAGCAATCGTCAAGGGATCTGTGTTTTACCATTATGATAAGAAATCACCAGAAATTCTTGCCAGGTGCCTACAGGAAACGTTATTACTGTATTTCACTGCGGCGATGTGTACTTTCTTAAAAGAAAGTAACACCGCATCTCACTTTCAGAGCCAACACCTATCACTGACTTAGGTTCATTTATTTATTAAAGACTTTTTAAGCATCTTACAAAGGAATTCGTACACTGGAAAGTCTATGCTTGGGCCACTCTTTTTTGCAAAATTAATATTTGACTTATTAAAATTACTATTTTACATTTAAATACCAAATCCTTCCTTAGGCTTTTAAGCTCTACTAACAGATCTTACTATTTTGTTTGCATCTACTAGGTTTAATCAATTTCAGGTGAGCCTTTGCAACTTAAAATCTCTTTAAAAATTTAAGTTCTTTTTTTAAAAAAAAAACTACTTAATTTTCCTCCCCCCATTTTTCTTTTAGTACTGGGGATTATCCTGGGTCCTTCTCATGAAGCTACATCCTTAGCCCCTGCCCCTCTTTCTTAAAATTGTGACACAGGGTTTAAGTCACTAACTTAGCAAGCCAGGCTCAAATTTGCACTCTGACTGCCTCAGCCTCCCAAATGCTGGGATTGTAAGGTATGCACCACTGCTCCACTTTCTTCTTTTAATCTATTTTGATTAAAGATTAACTGTTAGGGCCAGGTATGTGGCTCAGAGTTAGAGCTCTTCCTTTGCATGCACAAGACCCTGGGTTCAATCCCCAGCACCACACATACACGCACACGTGCACGTACCCACTCAAAATAAAAATAAAAATTAACTGTTAGCCAGGCACAGTGGTCCACAGTCAGATGACTCCAAGGCAGAAAGGCACACAGCAGAAGCACACTGGACGAAAGCTGCTCCCTTCACAGGGGCACGAAACAGCTTACAAAGGCAGCAGCCAGAGCAGGAGCCAGGTTGCACCCAGAGGGACCAACATACAGTGGCTTTCCAAAAGGAAGAAACAGAGGTGTAGAAACCCATGGACCAAATCAAGACCGAAACCCAAGGGGCAAAACTAAATCCTGGTGCTCCATGGGCAGCACCTGCGACAAGCTGTGGCCACAAGATGTGCATTCTAAATGGCCTGGGCAGGCCTGCGCCGATGGGCACCACACCCTCCTAACTAACCTCTTGGCGGGCTGTGCTCACTGCCCATGGCTTTCCTCAGATGTTCCACCTCCCTGGCTTCTCTCCCTTTCTGCACTCTCCACTGTACTTTTAGTTTTACTCTCATACTCTCAGAACACAGTGCCCTCTGCAAGGCACAGTGGCTGTCCTCCCAGACTTCTGAAATCTAGAGGAAAGCCTCCACAACAAAACAGCTCTTGTATTCTGCCCATCTGTAAAAGCAGCATCCTCGTGAATGACACCAAGATCTGTCAGCTCCAGCAGAAGCCAGACCCTTTTGCATTTTGGTTGCCAGGGCCTTTGAACATGGGGATAGCTGACCACTGTAAATGTGAAAACAAGA